TTACAAAATATATATTGGGAATAATGCCTGGGAAAATTTTAATAATTTAATCTTGGACCAATTTTATGCAATGCATTGTATAATGCATTGGAAACCAGTAAATATGTTATAATGGGAGCTTCCAATTCTGTCTTTTTACAGGGCGTTGAGGACAACATGTTGGGAACTAGTGAATGCTCAAGTGTGCAGAATGGACAGCGGCAAGGGGGTTCGCGATTTCAGACCAACAATTTTGAAGTCTTACATGAACCACTTGAAGGAATACGCTGACTTCGCACTGTACACTAAAAAAGATATGAAAAAGCAGCTTACAGGGTTCCCGAGAGTGTTCGTCATCATCATCCGACTTTTCAATAATCCGCCTTCCCCAGTTCATTGATGCCTGAACCCGATTAAACGCTTTCCTGTCCAAGAAAAGAGTGATGCAACTGAAGGCATCGGGTTCTCGACACACACCTTCCGCGATTCCGCCAGCGTCGCAGTCACGCGTCGAATTGCAAAACATACACTGATGCAGGCGTTTCGACGGTTCTATACATAGCACAGGCAAGAATAACAAGATATTACAGGACGAGCGAAATATGATTCAATAACGAAGTAAACTATCACATTTGAGAATACAATAACCAGCATGAATAAAAAATCAATATTACGTAGACCTTACACAACCAAACCTTGCGCAATAAATAGTGAACAAAATATCCGCAATAACAATACGTCCGGTAAAAGGCGCCCATTTTGACTGGGAGATGCACTCAGTTGGGAACCCTCACACGAAAAAATAAGCAATCGCGATCAGCGTTGTCAATAATATTCGATAAATACAGTACTGTATTTTTTTTAACCTGGAAAGAACTACCGTATTTACTCGCATACCACTATAAAATTTACTTCCAAAAATCGAGATGAAAAAATTAGGTAGCGCGTTATAGTCCGGTAAACATTTTTCAAACATTTTCTACAGGTTTCGGTGCGCGTGTTATACTCAATTCCAACGGGAAATTGTGGATCTGTTTTATAAGACATGTTCAATTCGGCTATTAAAAATCAATTGAATGCATATTAAATTCATACACAAACTCAAATTCTGGTTTGTCTTCGTTTTTGAAATACTGCAGTTTTATGCTCACTAAAAATGGCGTGCGAGTCTTACTCAGGGATTGGATTTCATCGAAATTTTAGGCGGAAAAATCTGGTTGCGTTTCTTACTTTGAGCGTGCGTGGAACTTGATGGATAACTACGATAGTCATCTCATTATGTAAACTCCTACAGCACGTATCCCATCGGATCTCGAACATTTTATTAACCATTCAAAACTAGGTAAATAACTTTTATTTTCAATTTCTGTCCGAAACGGATTGAGTTCGTTAACCGGGACACCACTGAATCGTAACAAAACAACAAAAAACACACACTCACGTCTTGGCGACGTCGTAACATCATCATCAATAGCCTCAACGGGCACTCCACCACTGAACACAATGCCGCGGCGAGTGTGACTATGATTCCGGTAATCCGCTCGACTGAGTCTGTACGAAACAGGTATATTTTCCTGCGTGTCAAGAAAGACTTGTTCATCGGGATCAGATGGACTCAAGGTCGACTTCTCAGCAACTGAAAGAAACAAAATTTTTGAGCTGAAAGCGCACTTACGCTACGAAAGGGACGAATATGTATTATATTGCATTTACTCGAGTATGCTACAGCGCATCTTTTTTTTTT